AAAGCTGTGCATGTACCCTGGACTTCAGCAAAGCCTTTCACACTGTCTCCCACAGCATTCTCCTGGAGAAGCTGGCAGCCCACAGCTTGGACAGGGGCACTCTCTGCTGAGTTAAGAACTGGCTGGATGATCCAGCCCAGAGAGTGGTGGTGAATGGAGTTACTCACCTCGAGCGCTGTGTCCACTTCTGGGCCCCTCTCCACAACAAAGACGTTGAGGTGCTGGAGCATGTCCAGACAGGGGCAACAGAACTGGTGAAGGGTCTGGAGCACAAGTGTTAAAAAGAGTGGCTGAGGGAGCTAGGGCTGTTCAGCCTGGAGAAAAGGAGGCTCAGGGGTGACCTTACTGCTCTCTACAACTGCCTGAAAGGAGGCTGTAGACAAGTAGCCTCTTCTCTCAGGCAACTAGTGACAAGACAAGAGCCAATGGCCTCAAACTGCACCAAAAGAGGTTCAGGTTGGATATCAGGAAACATTTTTTCACTGAAAGGATGGTCAGGCATTAGAATAGGTCACCCAGGGAAGTGGTGCAGTCATCCTTGGAGGTGTTCAAGAAACAACTGGACATGGTACTTGCTGAATTACTTTGGTTGACAAGGTGGTCATCGGTCAAAGGTTGGACTTGATCTTTTCCAACCTTAATGATTCTGTGATTAATTATAAAGTAGCATTTCACTAATACATAGTTTATATAGTATTTGCTGCCCAAATGAAGGGGAAAAGAGCACAGGCAATAGATGTCTAGCAAACCACACAGATCACTACCCAAAGTACCAAACCAACAACTGGGATTAGTGGAGCCCTTTCCTGCATCTTCCAAGAACTTGACAGGTCCTTGCAAATGAAGCCACTGTTTCATGAAGCATGCCTAAGCTACGAAAACTCTCAGAATGCAAACATTGCTGAGCCTGCGCAGACCTACACATCTCAGTGTACCCACCTGTGCCAAGCTGTACCTACCTACAGCCACTGCTCTGTAGCTGCACCAGCCCGGCAAGGAGCAGCACAGCAGCTCCCACAGGACCCTGCACCTGGTTAGTAAAAAGTCTGGCTCTTGGGAAGGCTTACTGGGTTATACACAATCCCATGCAATTAAGTTGGACAGCTTCCTGATGTGAGAAGGTCACATGAAGAATGGGGTGACACTGCCCTGTACCTCCAGTAGGAAGGGTACTGCAGGCACCCTGCACCCACTGCACTGGTACACAGGCAGTTACAAAGACTGCAATGAATTACTTTACTGAAGCCCACTGACATTCTCATATAAAAAGCAGTACACAGGGGCTATGAATAACAACATGATTAATAGCACTGTGTTTCAAGAAGCAGGACACTAGCTGCTAGCTACTATGACAGAAACGTACTTTTTAAAATTTTGGATTCAGCCTTTCAGATTCAATCACATTAGTTCTAAAAAATAAAAACATATAAAGTTGCAAATGGATTCACTAGCCCCTTGCTGTAATGTCAGCAAAGGTTCTACAGTTCTAGTCAAGCACATGAGTGCAGAGAGCATCACTTGGCTCCTGCTGTGGAATTGCTAAGCTCTGTCCAGTCCTGCTGCAGCAGAAGCAGAGCTCATCCAGCTTTCACCACACTCTATTTGGAGATTCTCTATTTGGAGATTCCAAACACCATCAAAATACACAAATAGCAGAGAAGCACAGAATCATTTAGATTGGAAGAGATCGTCAAGTCCAACCTATGACCAAACACCACCCCATCGGCCAGACCATGGCACTGAGTCCAGTCTTTCCTTCAACACTTTCAGGGATGGTGACTCCACCACCTCCCTGGGCAACCCATTCTGCTGTTTAACAACCCTTTCCGTGAAGAAATTCCTTCTGATGTCCAACCTGAACCCCCCAGGCACAGCTTGAGGCCGTGTTGTCTTGTCCAGTCACTTGTTGCCTGAGAGAAGAGACTGACCCCCAGCTTGCTACAAGCTCCTTTCAGTTAGTTGTAGAGAGTAGTAAGGTCTAAAGTATGTATTTTATATATAATAAATGTGTAATCGTACTTTTTATTTAAATTCTTTCCTTACTCTACAGGAGGTTCACTACTAGTTAATCTCCTCTTGTGTTTCTGAGGCACAGAGGCTACTCTCCCTCTTCCCCCACCTGCACTGATTCCATCAGAGAGGGTAAAGACCCTGACTAAGCAAAAGCCCCAGACTGGTCTTCTCAGCAAAACACATAGTAAGCACATGCCTAACATCAGGTATGCTTTACAAATCCTATCAGCTTTGCTGAGCGCAAATGGATATAAATAAATGCTTTCACGCTCTTCTGAAATAGGCCTGAAATGAAGACAGCGCATGGGATTCTCTGATGCTACCTAAAGCTGACCAGCAGCTCTGTGTGTCAACATGACACATCCAGGTGACAAAACCCAACATGCAATCCCATCACGACCCAGGCTGACTGGCTGAAGAGTTCACTGGTAGTGTCAGTGACTGCTTCCCTAAGAAACAAGAAATACTGTAACTTGCTCAGGTTTTGGATTTTGCTCCAAGTTGTGATAAAGCAGCTTTTGATGGATTTTTTAAGGTGTGATTCACTGTATAAAAGCAGGACTCTCCACTTTTAGCTGAACAAACTTCCATTGATTTATCAGGTATCTACCATTTTTGCCTCTCAGACCTTTCATGGCTTCTACGTGCTGTTAAACTGCCCTGTCCAGCAACATCTCAAACGTTCTGATTTTTCTATCACCCCAAATGATAATATGACAATGCTCTACTCAAAATTCTAATTTAAGCTTAAGTCATGTAGCAACCCCAAAATAAGCAATGTAAATTATATCTGAAAGCCCAGCCTCAGCAGAGAGCAAACAGCAGTGTGCTGTGGGAATCATAGTGTCTCTCATGCACCATCCCTTCACTGCTCCAACCTAACAGGGAATCTGAGTTCAACCCAGAGAGCAGAAAAACAGCAAACCAGAAAAACAGTAAACAAAACCCTTTCACCACGTTTCCTAGGACTGCAGAATTGCTCCAATCTACCTCTGTACCCAGTGTCTCCCTCCAAGCAGTGGCATGAAATAAAAAATGCCCCAGAAAATGCCAGTATTAAGAAATGGTATTTTCACCACTGGCTGCTTTATCCTCTAGCCATCAATGGGGAGAGATAAAGGAAAAGGAAGGAAAAGTAACGGCAAAGGCAGAAGGAAAAGAATAAGGTGGGAAGGGGGATGGAGGCAGGGAGGGAAGTAACCCTGGAATTGCACCAAAAGCTGGAATGTTGCCTCCGTACACACTACCCAGGAAAAGAAATACTCACAAGCTGCGCCTAACAGCATGAGGCAGAACAAAGTATGCCCACAACAAGTCTGCTTCATGCTGCTGCCAAACTTGGCACGAGTGCTGCACACAGTGCAAGGTCAGACTCACAAGCTGAATAGAGAAGCAGATGTGGTCGAGGGTAACACAGAATAAGCTACGTGTTTCCTCCCAGCATAACACAACAAACTGGTAACAGGGACACCAAGCCATCTCCAGAGGAGGGGATTTCTATGTTTCCTCCCCACATAATCTTCTGTACACACCAAAAACCAGATTCTTCCTGTTACCATGGCACTATTTCATCACTGGTGTCTGAGCACAGTTGTAGACACACAAGAGGAAGACACCAAATCCTGGACAGGAAGGTGGAGAAGAGACAAAAATTCAGCAGCTCATCACCACATAGCCCCAAACAGGTCCTCTGTAGAGGGTATGTAACAGCTACCACTGCCATGTGGCAGAGATAATGTCACCTGAGCTCACACAGGTCAGTCCTGGGCCTCGTATTAACTGGCATGGGTTTAGACAGACAAATGACACTTTCCTGGAGGGACCAGGCTGACTTTCCACTTTCTGACCTTCCATTCCAATTGCCCATTGCTTGACCAACCTCTGAAGGGGCGAGGAGAGGTGATTCAACCATTCAACCTGGTTTACTTTGTGATGATAACTACAGCTCCAAATACAAATGCCAATTAAACTCTGGCCTCAGGCAGATGAGCAAGGGCACTTGACAGACTTGTTCTGCCATATGCTTCCACACATCACCTAGACACTATTGGCCCAAGTTTTTTAACATTTCCTTCCCAGGATGTACAGAATCTGTACGACCAAGAACCATACTGACTAGACAAATGTTGCTATCAGCAGGTCTGAGGGAGAGTTGGGAAAAACTCATCTGAGGCATCTAGGGTTCAACTACTACAGCTGGCTCAAGGCACATCAATGAATGTCCTTGAAAGGCCCATTCCACTCTGCTCTTCTCCTCTAGCTGGGATGGGTGCTTTCCTGACCTTTACAGTGAGCTGGACTGTAGAAGCCATCACTGAAAGCTAACCCTGCAAATATGAAAGAAACTGATCCTGCTCACCACACTCCTCAAGGGAGCTTAACAGAAACAGAGCCAAGCATGCATACCACGCAGAGGGCAGGTCCTTTCAGTAGCAGCACCAGCTCAGACCTGACTGGGGGGACTATGAAACTGCACCTCTAATCGGTCAAGTAGTATTAGGCAGACAAAATAACCTCCCAAACTGACACACCTAACCCAGTACTTCTTAACATCCTCACAGGTCAGAAAAGTGGGATGAAGGGAATGTTAAAAAGACAGCAAAAACCATAGGATTTGCTGTCTTCTGGGTGTCTATTTTTAAAAGACTCTGTCTCAAGTGCTCGTTTTGCCACAAGTTTATTGTTTTGCACCTTAAAAACAAGGGTTCTGACTTTCCATAGCCCTGCACTCTCTGCATTCACTTTCGCCTGTGCAATGTGTGAGCGGTGTGGGTGTAAACACTACTATTCTGGTTTGGTAGCATTTGCCACCCACTTTGCCAAGGTGTGAAAGACTGCACAAGGTGCAAGGCAATGGCGAAGATGCTGTTTTACACAGCTCCTACACCCATAGTAATATGGTGCACAGATACGCAGAGAGAGTGAGAGGGTAGAAGGAAAGGTGCATCAGGTATCTGCTGAAAAAGCAGTGTGACAAGAGGGCTCACCCAGCACAAGCAGCTCCACTGATTCTTCATTCTTGCCCTCCACGTCATCTGGTGTGATAATAAGGCAGTAGTAGAGCCCACTGTCTCCCCACATCAACTTCCCAATCTGCAGGTCTGCATCTGGAAGGCAAAAAAAGAACAGTCAACCTTTCCCTCCAACACCTAAAAGAAAAATGAAGCATTGAATGCACAGTGTCCACCCCTGTGTCCCAAATTCACTTAATTTCCTTACTAAGAACAGGGGTTAATCTTATCCTGAACATCACAGTATTCAGGAAAAAAAACAACAGGCTCGGGACTTCGAGCTGCAGGTGGGAAGATAGATAATGCTGCAGAGGCGACTCTGCAAGTGCCAAGAGCAGAAGGGGTAACTAGTGTCACTCTCTATCTTCCTCCATGGCCTGGGGTCCCAAAATATTTACGTCATTAAAGAAGGGCTTAGACATTGTCTCCCCTACAGCACCTCAATCATCTGCCAGAGGTTACATAGAGACAAAGGAAAACACTCCTCCTTGCTGAGGTTGATCACACACTCTCCACTCCAAAGAGTCTCCACTTCTGGCTAGGAGGTCTCCTGAGCCATGTAGAAACCTTTTAGTTTGGAGGGACAAGGTTTCTCGCACAGCCTTCCAGACCAAAATGTATCGGGATGCTGACACCCCTCATCTCCACCCAGCAGGACTTTGCCCCACAGAAATCTCCTCTTTTCTCACTGCCCATGGCTGTGTGGCTTCAGATTTGTTATAGGTTAAGTCCAGGACTGAGCAAACATGAGGTGTAGGATAATTTGAGCATTTTGGAACTGGGAAAAAAAAATCAGTGGTATTTGTAAGGAAGAAAAACCTAACCTGCAGAGACTGAATTCACCTCTCGCTGGAAATCTCTAGATTTCCTTTGTTAAGGAAAATTGATATACAGAATAATATACAGAAGCCAGGAATGAAAACATTGCACTTTGTTGAAGGGAAAAAAAGAATTCTGTATCTGGGTTGGAGACCTATATGGAGACAAAAGAAAGTGTCAGAGGAAATTACCTTTGGGCCTAGGGTTGGTTGGCTGGCTGAATCCTGAATGTCTGACATACAATACCTTCCCATAACCTTTCCTAAGGGAGTTAACCGGACAATTACTGCCAGACTCCAAGTATCCCAAATTGCTAAGGGTCCATTCCAGCCCCCACCAAGCATGACTGGTGTAGGAGAGTTACCGTGGACAATGCTGACATCTCTTTCCTTATAGAAGTCCCCTATAGTGATGGCAGATCCTTGTTTGGAGGCCACGACACGGACCGTTCTTCTGCTGTCCACACAGTCCAGGTAGGGATCCCAATCCAGGTTCCTCTTGCTCATTGTTTGTAACCCAGAGGTCACCATTCCCAAAGCTTCTCCCATCCGGTCCTGGCAATAAGATTTGTACCTCCACTGCACCACAGCTGGCTGGGTGGAAGAAGTGGAGAAATGGCAGCGAAGCAGAGCAGGCTGAAACAGCATGGCCACCTTCTTCTTCTCAGGCACAGTGACCTGCAACCCTTCCACCTCAGCTAAAAGACAAAAACATGAGTATCATATGCCTTGGCACTGCTTGAAGAGGGAGCTACTGCATTTTATCACAGCATCATTCTCCCCACATACATCAAACTGCCCATCTGGTTCAGGTGTTAAGGTGCAATATTCCTCAATGTATGTTGTAAGTATGGATGTTGGCAGCACAATTAAGTTTGCTTTTTCCCTAGCCTACAGCCACAAATAAAAATACACCATGATGGGACTGAAGGCTCAAATGTAGCACCCTTACATTGCAGAGGCCCTAACACAGTGGTGTGATGATTCACAGGTTCTGTGGCAGGTTCACAGATAAGGAAGAGGTATTTTAGGGATGGCCATGCTTCACTTCTACAGCAGGTCTGCCAAGAGGTCAGATTCCAAGTTCATAACAATGCTACTGCAGAATAAGTCACCCCCCTCCCAATTTCAGTGGCATTACACTTCCTCTTTGTAAGTCAAGCAACACACAGTGCCTGACCCAGCCTGTTGTGCACTGGTGCCCAGTTAGTGCTGCTTGCTCTGCCAAACTCTAGAGATGCACGAAGGAGTGGATCCAAATCAGACAGCTCATCCCAGGGCTGGCAAGCAGCACTGAGAAAAATTGCTCCATGTGGGAGGTGTGGAGAAAAATGGCCCAAACACGCAAGTTTTTCACATTCCCAGGGAGGAGAGGGATCTCAACATGTAATGTTTATCTACCAGATGACAGGAGAGCTGCAGCCTGGAGCTCTGATGTATTAAGGCCACAGAGAAGATGCATGGTAGTGCTGCCACATCCCTGTGTAGTTTAGGGAGAAGAAAGAGTCAGTGTGCAATGTCAGCACAGAGCCCTTGGGAGAGTGAGGTACTTCATCTACCCCCAGGGAAAAGGCCAAAACTTCCCCTGCACGCCCTTCACTGCTTCCCTCCTTGTGCTGCAGGCAGCAATGACTGAGAGCACTTACACAACACTGGAGAAAAGGGAACCAGAGTCAGTATTGAAAATACTGGTGATGGCTCTCTACACCCAGTTCACACGCACCCCAGAGCAGTGCACAGCGAAAAAGAGGACAAGACACAAAAAACATTCAAGAGAATAGAGCAGAAGAGAAAGTTTACACAACATCTGGAGAAGAGACTGATGGACTTCGGGAAGCTTAGGGAGGAACAAAAGACTGAGGACAAATAAAGGCTTCCTCATGTTGGGAAGCAATAGAAGAGAAGTGAAAATGCCAAGAAAGAAGAAAACCGACAGAGTAAGAATAGAGTATCAGGGTTAGTATAGGAAGCAGAAGGATAAGCAGGATGACAATCATGGAAGCTTACATTCAGCTGGAAGAAACTGAAGAAGGTGTGTCAGCCCAGGTCAAAATAATTTCAAAGGACTGGAGTTGCAAGAGATTAAGAAATGATATAGAGAAGAGAGGAAAAGGAGTCAGCAAAAATAACCCACCCACTCCAGAAAGTGGAGATGAAAAGGAGATGGAAGTTGGCCAAAGAAAATGAAATGACAGGACGTATATTTAGAATGGGGGAAAAAAAGGCATAGACTAAAGCACTGGAGCTTGAAGCAGACAGAGAGCAATAAATGCATCAACAGTATGACAACAGCAGGCATGAAGAGACAAGGTCAAGTTGGAGACAGCTGCAGACCTGAAAAGCAAAGGCAAGCAGAGATTGCACAACCAGGATTCAGAACCAAAGGAAAGTGAAGAGGTTGGAACAACAGCGAATGTTAAATTCAACATTTTATCTATGTCCAAACTACTAATCCCAACAAAGTCTAAAAATACCACTCAGGATAAACCCACAGCATGGACAGAGCCTAGGGGAAAGCTTATTTCAGACAGGCAAGATGGTCCCTGACACTAAAAAAAAGTTACTGATCTAGGCAGGATTTGACGATGGGGACTACTATGTGAAGGCCCGAAGTGCACAGGGGGGCTGTGGCATTTGCACATAAATGCTCTATTATGCACAAAACAAATGCATGACATCATGGATATAGTGCTTGTGCCACATGGAAGCTGCACAAGAGATACTAGTTCTGCCAGAAGCACTTGGACCCAAATCCAAACCCTGAAGTGTGGGTGTTCTCCAGAGTACCACCAAACACAGCTGAGAGGCAGGGCCATGAGGCCGCTCCTGTGCTTTCCCAAGGCACAGGCGAAGAGATAATTCAGGAAGTGGCCACTGGGACTTTTTCTGCCAGGCCTCCTCTTCCCAGGGACCAACCATAGGGGCTGTGTGGCATTAAGGGAATGACAGCACATGCTTCTCAAGGTGAACCAAGTGGTGATGTCTTAGTCTCTCCTCTCCAGAGATTTGTGCTTTCTGGGTTGCATCTGGATGCAACAGACATGACGAACACCTTGAAAAAACAAATGGGTCCAGGTCAGACCTATGTCTGGCAACTCTGTGCCTGACCCCTCACAGTCTGAGGCCAAAGCCAGCATGTGACATGAGCTGATCAAGTGACTCATCACGTTACCTCAGCTTCAGGGATAAAACAGTGACACACTGAATATTTAAATCTTTCCCTTGTGAACCAAGTACACTGCTTAGTAAACACTGTGCTTTCAGCTAACCATGCACTGTATCCCTCCTTCCCTGTTAATGAGATTAATGAGTTTGGCAAGTCAGGACTGCTTTAATAAATGATTAGCTGAGCTTTAGCAAATTCTCATCTGACTAACTTTCCCCACCCTACCCCCATGTGAATGTCTATATCAAGAAAATAAATGCAGCTTTTGGGAGAACATAGGAATCTTTTTTCTAGATGATTCTTTTTCTAGCTTTTTGGAGACGTGCAGAAAATTATCTGGCATCTTCTATATACTATCCCAAGCTCTTTATTAACTTCTGAAGTATTATTTTTGGATTCTTTCCAGGAATAGCATTTAAGAGCAACACAGTGCCTCAGACTGAGAGCCTGGAGCAATGGAAACTTTAGATCTATTTAAGTCAAATTATATACAATTATATATGGCTGAACTGGGAAATGATACACCTGTTATTTCCTCTGCCAAAAAAAAAAAAAGACTGGAATTGATTCATGGAGCACATCACTGCTGTAACAGTGTCCATCAAAAAGGCCAACAAGATGTCTGACAGCCCAAAGACAAGATGGTGTCTTTACATGGATCAGTTATGTCCATGCACAGGAGTTATAGTGGCCTGCTTAGGACCTCCTCACCTTCAAGAGGAAACCGTGACCTCAAAAAACTTCAAGAGATTAGCCAAGATAAGAAAAGCCTCAGATGTATCACAGGGCAGAACTCTGGGTTGTTAATGTAGCAGAGAAAAAAAGTGAAATACGTGAAAAATAATGACAAGCCGAGTGACAGCACCTTGGTAGCTTTGTCTAGTTTAATATAAGTAGGACTGAAAAGAAACTGAATTGTGTTGTGCTATGTTTTGATTAAAGCAGACAGAGCAAGATTAACCTTTACTTCAAAACCATCACAGAAATGCAATTCCTGCACTCCAGAGAAGCAACCAGTTCATTGTGAATTTCACGTTTGAAGTTTTATTAGAAAAAAAAAATCTAGCTTGTGGGAGTACTGTAACCATTTTGCTTTCCTTTCTTCTTGTTCTCCTAAATCCTCAGAAAAAGGTCTGAAAATATTAATCAAGTGCACCTTAAAAACACAGATATCCTTAGTCCTAGAAAATTAAAAGAATCCATGGTTTTGTGTGCCTGTACGTATATATATACACAGTCCCAGAAAAAAAGCTTAAAAATAATCACACTTTAGAAATATAACTGTATGGGTTCTGTCTGCTTCAACTGGAAACATGCATTCATCTCCTCTCTCTGATTCTTTTCCTAAACTATCCTCAGATTATGCATTCAAACTATGCAATCAACACTACACACAAGCTATCACTAATACATTTCACTGGTGATTAAAACAAATTCCAGGAAGTGAATAGGGGATATTTGTAAGGGCGCCTTTGAGCCCTGTGAGTCTGATCTCCATAAGCGCCTTCCCTGAGCAAAAGGGAGAAAGCAACTGGGAGGTGATAAGTGAGACTTTTGCTTTGCCCTTGCCCTCCAGAGAAGCCTATGCCTCCCTGAGGTGAAATGAATGCCAGGAAGATTTACCTCCGCTACACAGCCTTAAGTTAGCCTCTATTAATAGAATCATAGAATGGTTTGGGTTGGAGGGGGCCTTAATTATCATCTAGTCAGAGTAAAACTGATCTAAAGCACCAATCCCTGTAATGGCAAAGCCATGTACTGTAGTGCAGCCTAACAGGTCTCAGGCTGCATCCTTCTGGCACACCAGATTTGAGTCCAAGAGAAGGCAGGACACATTATTCTTCAGGTCTATTCTTCAGGTCAGGATGACTCTTCCTACCTACTCCTAGGCCATACCTAAGGGCTTCAGCAGAAAAGCATACACGCATTGGTAAGAGACAGTGCCCTTAGGGCATGGCTTATAACACTTCCCTGAACAAAATAAACTGTTGGGCAAAAGGATCTTTGTTTACTGCACCTTGGCTAGTATGCATCATTTAGAAACGTCCTTTCCCCCACTGCTGAATACTGGCACATCATCCACGCTTTCAAATGTGGCTCAAGCCTGAATGAGGAAGTGCAAGACCTGGACTTTGAGATCGGAAAGTTAGAGATGATAAACAGATGTGTAAACTGATGAATGGAGAGCCAGTGGGATCACTAGGACTGTGTTGTACAGATTCTTGCCTACTCAAGCTGGACTAAATCCAATCCATGTAATTTATCAGCAAAAGCCATCACCATCAGATCATGTTGAGTGCCTTTTGGGAAATGAATTGGATGGCTTGGTCTGGTTCCTATCAGAGTTGTGTTCTTAGCTACATGACCACTAATTGTGGTCATGTAAATGCATAGTTCTGGTTTTTACAGCTCCACAGTAAAACCAAAAATTTCAGCTCTCTGACTGTTTAACCTGGAAAGGGGAAAGCCAAAAGCAGCTGCAGAAAAGCATGGCCCTGCACACCCAGCACAGAACCTCAAAAAAAGAAAAACCAATCCATGTAGAACAGCCCAGGCTGTGCAAATGGACTGGACTATTCCATGCTCTTCCCCATTCTCTGTGGTGCTGCTCCCAGGTACCCCATGCTCCTGACTTTGGTCTCTCTTCATCAGTTTCCCTGTGCTCCTTACACTCCCTTATGACCTGCCCCTTTCATATATTCACAAAGGTCACTCCAGACGTTCTCAGGTGAATTATCTCAGCTCTGGCCACCAGATCAAATCCACCCTCTCTTATTACTGTTTGAAAGATGTTACTTTTGTCAGATGCTTCATGATTTACAGTGTTGGTTCAGCATCCCAGAATTCATGCTCAGAACTATCACCCAGCAACTGATCCCCAGCACACCTGAGAACAAAGGAAAATAGATGGGAAGAGCCTCTCAAAGCTTTATAACACCAAGCATTAACACCTGTCCTTGGGATAGCGTTGGGATATCCACTGGTGCCAGTCCCACTCAAGGTGATCTCACAGGAATAGAAAGTAAGAAAAATGTGAGATTTCTTCTCAGTTATGCTACACGTATGCTCTGTGAAGCCAGGAAAGGGAAGTCAGATGAATATTTTGTATCAAGACAGAAGAGACAGTCTATCCATCTCCCTGCTTTCCAAGAAGTGTGCTCAGTTGGCCAGGAAACAGCAAAGCACAGCTGTGCTCCAGCATGCCCCCTCAGCCTGCTCTCCTGAACTCTGGCTGGGGATGTTGAGGTATAAATACACCCACCTCTCTACTACACTATTGCACTGCAGTGGCTCGTCTGCATAGGGAAAGTAAACAGGGACTAAGCCCTAAATTACTGGTAAGAAATTACTTAGGAGAGAGAAAAGACCCCATTTCAACATGGACTGTCTTCTAATTGTAATCTTTCCAAGCTTAGTCCAAGTTCTGAGGTGGAAAAATATCGTTCTGCTTGTTCTGTACGTAAAACTGGAGCTCAGCCTCCAGTGCAACACTTCTCTCTAGTTTTAATTGCATTAGAAATTACAGCATTATTAAGAAAAACAGTAAGCACAAGGAGAGAAATTCCAGAATTAAGCTGCACTTGGTAGTTTACAAAAACCAGCTTTACACAGAGCCTTAAGGACACTTGGCAAATTGTATCTTCTTTCTATAGAATGAGAACACAGTCCCACACATATCTTAACCTGTGTGACCTCATAGGAAGGAATAAAGGACGACCTGCTCTTCATCCATTTGCTGTTGTTACTAAAACACTAGCTTTAGAAATGTGGGAGAGCAGGACAGGAGGAGGAGAAGCCAAACCAAATCCATTGTACCTCAGGAAGGAGTTTTTGAAATTGCAGTAGGAACTCACAATGCACAAAACCAAACAAAAGATAAATGCAAGAGCCAAAAATTAAAGACAAACAAAGGACAGAGAGGAATTACTGCTGGGAGGAAAGGAACTGCAAGTGCTGATTAGAAATTTCTCAGCCCACCTCGAGAAGGGAGGAGGGGAGAGAAGGGGACAGAGAGCCTTCTCTTTCATGCTCTCTTTTGTCTCCCTGCTTCCTCTCCCCCATCTTGCACTCTTGTCTCCTACCCCGGCCCCTCCACCTCCCACCCCCACTTCTCTTTCCGAGAGCAGAGTGCACCACTCGGGCTGGATTAGGGCTCCTTACCTTGATGCAGACCTTTCATTCCTTTGCACAGCCACTGGGGAGAGGAAAATCTTGAATCCATGTTTGCTAGCCTCTCCTCCCTTTCAGTGTACACACACATTCACAGTCACACAACTTGGCTTATTTGCTTTGTCTCAGCTATGAAAAAGGACAGTAGCACCTGATTTATTGCTGGGCAGCAGTGGCCAGAGGCTGGGGAGGAGCAGGCGAGCTCTGGCTGCCTCCACCTCTCAGCACGCAGCTGTGGATAACCTGTTGCCTCTGGAAGCCTGTGCCCACTGGCTCTCGACTGCACCAGCAGCACGCAGAACTGCCTCAGAACCCCAGGGCTAGAGGAAACGGGAAGGTTTTCCTATTACTGCAGCACCTCTCTCTCTCTGCATTGACCCTGCGTGCTCCGAACAGCGGTCGCTGCCAGGAATCGTGAACTACCTTCGATGGAGGGAGGAAAGTGTCATCAGCCCAGTCTTTTAGCCTGATGGAAAAGTCCTGATCTAGCCGCACATGTCCTTCTTTAAAAAGGAGAAGGAATGTAATGTCATGTTTATCTTCACCCTGTACTCCCTTCCCAGTCCCTGGATGCTGTTTTATCAGCTCACTACTATGGCTAGTGGGAAAGCAGTGGTAGTTGTGAGTGCGCTGGCACTCCAGACCAACTAGGTAAAGCAGGATACATTTGGAAGCAGCCAAACGGCAGGGAGGGAGGGAGGATGAGCTGGAAGCTGCTGAAGCCCTAGATGAAGCCGTGAAACCCTGGAAGGGAGCAGTAGGCAGGCATCGGTATTGAAGATGACTCAGAGTGAAAAAGCAAGGAAAGGGGTGGGTGGGTGGTGGGAGAGAGGTGTTATGACTAAAAGCCGAATTTACTGGTTGTGAATACTAAATCTGAATAGGAAGAGGGAAGAGGCTGAGGTCTTCTTTGTGGGATACATCGGTGGCAGTGGGAAATATATGTCACTTAAACCAAGTGTGTCTGTTTCTTTCAGCCAGTAACCAGCCTGCCTGGCTAAGTCATGCTGCTGCAGCTTTTCCTAAAGCCTGCTGCTCCTGCCTGTGCCTGGCTGCTGCACCGGCTCACAGGAGACAAATTTCTGTCCCTCAAAGAGGGCTCCCTCTTTCCTCCCTGATTCCCGGCTGCCCCGCCGCTCTCATTCTCTTCTAATCCTTCTCTTTTCCTCGCTGTTCAGGTCTCAGACCCAGCCCCTTTTCAGCTTATTCCCCCTGCCCTCTCCCCCTCTCCGCTCTCCTCCCCGGCTCCCCTCCCCCTGGCTTAGGGAGGGAGGGCTCGCCCGACGGGCAAGAGGTGGTGGGCGAGCTGGGCTGTGGGGGGCAATCCCATCCTGCGGTCACAAGGCCTGGGCACAACTGCACCGTCACGGGGAAGGCCCCCCTGGAGGCCGGGGTAGAGGCAGGGCAGCCCCCTGCTCCCGCACCTTGTAAGGACGGCGTGTGCGGTCAGGACACCGGGTAAAGGAGAAGTTCCTGCGATTGTTCCCGGCCCGGCACGGGCGGGCGAGGGGGAGTCGAGGATTTGTCGCCATCCCTCCTGCACCGCGGCCGAGGACACTCCAGCTCCCTCGCTTTCCAGCTACCTTCCCGGGCCGGCTCCCACCTTCCCCGCCGCCTGCGCGCTTTTCTCCCGCCGGCCCCGCGGCGAACAAGCGGCCCCAGCGCCCAGCGGGCCACGCGGAGCGAAGCGCAGGGGCCCCTCGGACCTGCCCCCAGAGCCCCTCGGACCTGACCCAGGGGGCCCCGGGCACCGCTTCCCCCCACGTCCCCAGCCCCCCTCCGCGAAGTCTCCGCAAACTGCACCGCGGGACGCCCTGGAGCGGCCTCCACCCCACGCCGGCTCCCTCCGCCGCTGTCCTCCCGCAGCATCTCCCCAAACCCCCCATTTTCTCCCTAAAGAAAGCCGCGGAGCCCGGCAGGCTGAGCACGGCACGGGCACGTCGGGGCCGCCGGGGCGCCCGTGGCCCTACCTGCGATCCACAGCAGGACAATCCATCCCAAGACGTGTCCATCCATCTTTCCCAGTGGTCCAGGCGACGCGGGGCGGGAGGGAGGGAGAGGCGCGGGGGCGGCCCCGCTCGGGCAGCCGCCTCCCCCAGCGCCGGCCGGGCTGGCGGAGCGGTCGCGCTGTGTGGCTTAGCTCCTGCTCCGCTCCTCCCCCGCCGCCGGTGCCCGCGGCCGCCCCCGCGGCTGTCCGGGCGCGGGAGGGGGATGCGGCTTCCCAAAACGGCTTCCCGAAACTGCTTCCCTCCCTCCCTCCGGCGAAGGCGCGTTTCGGTTGCCAGGTGCCGCTCCTCAGCCTACGGGCACCCCGGCACATTCCTCCGCAAATCCTTCAGCCCCCACCCCCTCCGGCATCCCTCCACTTCTTAGCGAGGTTCTTATAACTTCTAGTAAGCGCTGAGCTGTGGGGTGTTAAGTTGTCGTGCCAACGTGATACTGGGAGGGGATGGCATTTTTTGGGGGGAGGAAGGGGACAGCCAACTAGATTTACAGCTAAAAATGACACTTTAGAATATAGATGTTGCTTGGAAATTAAATGCTCCTGGCCACAATGAAGCCACATGGATACACACACAAGGTACTGAAAGGTTTTAAAAATTCTGTGAAAACTTAATAAGTCAGTGGAATTATTAATAAGCCTAGAACTGGCTAAAATAGCATCATGCTTCCTTTGGTGGCTCAGCACCTTCCAACATGGCACTCACCAGCACATGTTTGTTGTTCACCCTCAGGCATTTTTCTTGCAGGGGCTTGGCTGGTGTTTGTAACCAAAACTGGGATGATGCAGATACAAGCGATCCACATGGGAGATGGGAGTAGTCTTCATCTCATCGGGAATCAGACAAAGAACATGAATAATTCTGATTTTCCTAATGCAAAGCACTGCTAAAAGGGTGCACAGGGGTGCCTGCAGTAAAACTGTACAAGCTATTTTCTTTCTAGCAGGTATTTTCCAGGTGCCTGTAGATCCCATATTTTGCTTCTCAGACCAAACTTCTCTACAGGCAAGATAAGCTTATTTTAAAAAGTGTGAATGGAAAAAGATCAATAATTTCTGAGTGAAATAGCATGTTTGCTGTGATAAAAAATGTGTTGAGACGTCCTTGGCTGTTTTTAACCAGGTGTAGTCCCTCTGTTAGCATAGTTAAAGTGGAATTAAGCAAGGAGACAATCCCTAGGCAGCTGATCTGTTTTCAAGTGTTTTATTCGGAGCTATTCAATGTTATTTAAAAATATTTTCAAATGGAAGCTTATTTTTATTCAACATTGCTTCAAAAAAAAATACACACCCACCCCAATCACTGTTCTGATGTTCCTCTGACCTGACACATTATGAATTTAACTGTTTTGCAGTACTAGCTAAAAGTCACTATTAAGAACTAAGCCCCTGCTAACACTAAATCATGTGTATGTGCAACAGCCCACAGAGTTGTTCTCTTTCAGCACACAGGGATGTGACACCTCATTGCCTTTGTCCATACTTGCAGGTGGAAGACAAAGTAGAAACTCTCATTCAGGCCACAACTTCAGCGTCCAGAAATACATGTGGTTCCAGAAAACTCAGGAGGGCCTGCCTCGCCATTGTTATATATCTGTAGGATACCATCCATGAAGGTTTGTGTGGGCTGAATTAAGACTTCTAAAACATGAATATAAAGCTATTTTTCTTTCCCTCCCTTAGCCATTTTTCCTGATAACCCTCAAAATTTCAAGCAAACTTCTGGTTCATTGCCTTTTTGTGACTTAATTGGCCAGGAGTCTGATCCAGTTTCCTGAGGCAATGTTGATGTTGATATTATCTCATCTGTTTAACACTGGGAGCAGTACAATCCCTTATGGGTCACTATTGTTAGCTACTCCTAGGGGTTTTTTGTTGCCTTTTTTTTTTTAATCTACTCCAGCTTTTGCAAATAAGTTTGGCATATATCAGTTGTGCTAAACTTTTGACTCACAACAAAGGAAGGAAAGATTTTCAATACAAGGAAGCACCATTGTTTTGCATGTAACGTTGGATTTATATCTGCTTTGAAATTCTCATAAACTCACTGTACGGTCCTTTTTCATTTAATGTGAGCTGTCATTTGTATACATCCACGTGTGATGGGTGCCCAAGCCCAGAATAGATGTTCCAGATCTCTGCAGACCTTTGATCTGAGTATTGCAACATCTGAGCTGGCTTAATAGTTAATGTTGGGATGTTGTCTTTCCTTTTAGCCCGTTCTTGGAGACAGAAATCTGTATGACTGTAGTTAGCCCCAGTTCACCTTCAAACGGTGGGGAAATTCCTATGCAATTAGCCAGATGGCTTCAAGCCACGGCCCAGCAGGGATTCTCCGTCCCTTGAAAAACAACATACTGGCAGACTTAAACCTTCATCTCCCTCAGTAACTTCCCCATGCTTGTCCTGCATAATTTAGCCCCAGACTGAATCTGAAGAATACTGCAACACTGTTTGACATTGCTGATACTGCGATTCCACCTTAAGGAGTTCTCTAAGCAATGGGATCATGAACAAATTCGGTTGAACAATACAGAAACAAACAAGCTCACTTTTTTATTCATGCTGTAGCAGCTGCTGGCTTTTTTCTCTCCTTGCAAAGTACTTCATTCCTCCCTCCTTCCTTTCATCTTCCACTACCAGTCTTTTGTGGTCATTTCCTCTGTTGATAAGCAGAGTCAGCTTATTAAGTTACCAGCACATGGAATTTACACCAGCACCTCACTTAGAATGACCCATCTTGGAAACATCCCTGAAACCCCACTATGCTGCATGAAGATTTTCATGCCATTCAGCCCCCTGGATTTCCCCTGTAGAAACTTCCATAGAAACATCAATTTCAGCAGCTTTCTGGGATGTCATACTACATTCAGCCAGTAGACACTGTTTTCTTGATTTAGTACTGAGACCAGCACACTACAGAAGTTATTAGGTGACACACCATCAATTCACAGCCTTTAGTGAGTCTCTTCAGCATAGCTACTAACTAAAACTTTTCCTCATTTGCTTTGTCACACTGGAATCTCTTTTTAACCATTGATAGCTTCACAGCAAGACAAAGCTGAAATATATGCACTCTGGATATGTTGTTTTTTTCCGAGCTGCCTTGCTACATTTGATAGCACAGTAATACAGAGCTTTTACTTTCCATTAACGCCAGGAGAGAGGGATATGGATATACAAACTGCTTTTGTTTTTAACCATGGTGTTTGTACCATGTTTAGAATATTTAATGGAGGAATTTGACTTTCTTGTTGTAATGAACCTTCAGTTCTGTAATACAAAATCAGCATTAGAAAGAACTCAAGAGAACAACGTCTTTCTGTAGTATTTACTCCTCTGTATAAATTTCCTGTGTTGCTCCTGATCCTTTTTTTAGATACCAAAAATCATAGCATACCTTCCCTACACTTGAAGGGAACCTGAAATTTTCATTTAAGTCAAACACTAAGAACACGTCAGCAGTAATGATTTGTGAAGTTATTATATAGGCACACCACGATCATGTTATTATATAGGCACACCATGATCACAAGTGAATCATCCCAGCTCACAATCCTGTGTCGCTATAAGCAAAAATACACAGTATAGGAATAGGAAAACTCTGCTTGCACATCTACAGATAACCAAGGAGATAACAAGTTGTTAAACCCTCTAAGGTTTTGGCTGTAGAGAAACTGTGGGTAGCACAAATACCTTCAGGGACCTGAAGTTCATAACCCAGACTGTTGTGACTGTCTAATCCAGCTTTTCTAATAAAACAGGCCACATCACTTTGCCACGCTACATTGTTAAAAAAAGAATCAAAGATTACTTTGGGATGGAAGGGACCTCACCCTGCCCCTAATTTCATCTAACTTCACCTTCTAGTACTGCCAAGCTTGAATACAGGGCACTCTTAAGGCAATTTCTGAACAGAGGTAATGACAGACTATGATCAAAGCACCCCTAACATCCTCTCTGGAAGTTCAACAGGCTGTTATTTTGCTATATGGTTGAGCTAACACCAGATCTAGAGGGACGATCTCAGGCTCAGTTGCTAAAAGCATGAAAGTAGAAGTACTACAGCATCATCATCCCTGCTTAATATTTCTTTGTTTCTCCTTCCAGGGATCAAGCTGTTAGTCCTCTTGATATAGCATCACACAGGGATCTCCTCTTTGGTGGATATCCCACTCTATCACCTATGTAATTCAGTATTCCCTCAATCTTTGTATTATGTGCAAGTAACTGTGGTGACTGTATGTTTCCTTCAAAGGTACCAACAAATATGCAGCCAAGAAAGGACCTAAGAAAGGTCTTGTGAAAAAGTGTGATTGCAATTCCTCATTTAAATTACATTTTGAGACATCCTAAGCTACTTCTTTATCTGGAGACTGGATGGTCTCTGTATCATAAATCTGTATCCTTGATTTAGTGTTGTGTGGTCAAGTCACATGCCTCACGTGTCTGAATGCATTACCTTTAGTAACCACACTTAATATCTTTTTGATGCAATTACAGACCAATGTGACAGAATCTATTTGCTGCAAACCCATGCCGATTGGCATTAATTACATTACTTTTCTTTAATTCATTATTGAAGCAACTCCTGTGTCAGCAGTTCTATTCTTCTGCCTGGGATCCCTGTCACTCTGACAGGTCTGTAATTACTCAGGGCATCCTACTTGGAGCCATATCCAAAACAAGACTTTGGAAAATTTTTGTTACCTAGCATTTAGAACTGCAATCTAAAAAAACCCTCATTGAGCAGCAGTTTAAGAATGAAATCACACATATGCTGTCAAAGTACATGCTTACAATTTATTTTCTCTGCATACCGCGATAGTACTGAGCACACAGATGTCTAACAAACAGTCAAGCCAAGGCTTACATATATTTGGGTTGTCGAAGCCAGGTCCTTGTCTCATCAGATATTAAGGATTTCCCAGTATTTGTCCATGACACTGGAACAATGTGGTGATTTCCCTGGAGGCATGGTTTTAAAGGTATTTTATGGCATAGAGGGGATGCAGCTGTAGCACACCTGGGCAGCTGGTTACCCTGTGGCTTGTATCAGCTTCATGTTTGTGGTCAGCAGGGTCACAGGACTTGCCCAGCAAGTCCCATGCACCCCACAACTCCATGACCTGCTGCACTGCAGCTCCCAG